GGCAGGGAATCCTTCCCGGCAGGGCGGGGAGGCCCCAGCACAGGTGTTCCAGGGAATTTGTGGCTGCTCCCTGAAAGTGTCCAGGTTGGACGGGGCTTGGAGAAGCCTTGGGTAGCAGAAAGTGTCCCTGCCCATGGAATTTTTGAATTTAAATTCCTTTCCAGCCCAAACCAGTCTGTGGTTGTCTGAAATGCAGAATGGGAATGTTTTCCACAGAAAGCTGTGGATGGTTTCACGAGTGACCTGGTGTTTGGGGGCTTGTTGGGTTTAGGTTTGAGTTCACCCACAAGAAGCAGTCGGGAGGAGCCGGCCAGTACGGCAAAGTGATCGGAGTGCTGGAGCCCCTGGAGCCAGAGGACTTCACCAAACTGGAGTTTGAGGACAGAACCATTGGCACAAATATTCCCAAGCAGTTTGTGCCCGCCGTGGAAAAGGTACAGAGCCCTGTGTGACACAGAAAATCCTGATTGCTCTTGTGTTCCTGCAGCACCACCCACGTCTGCTGTGCCTGCCTGACCAGGAAAGGAGGCTTTTCCTGCTGCTCCAGTGGCAGCAGGATCACAGCTGTGTGGTTTTACTCCATGTCTTGCATTCCTGGGGTTTCCAGTGAATTCAGGAGCTGCTGTTGTTTTTGGTGATGTGTGCTGCCTCTGTTTCCCTTGTGAGAGTCTCCTGCTCAAGCTGCTTTTTCCTGGCCTCTTCTGCTTCTGGTTGTGGCTTCACAATTCTCCTCCCAGCCCCAATTCTTCTGTGACTTCTCTGAGGCCAGTTATAGAGGAAACTGTAATTAAGCTGCATTTCCTGCCTCAGTTCCCAAATTCTCTTTCTTTATCTCCTCTGTGACTGCCTCACTGTATAATTTATTACACAGAGCTTTAATTAACCTACCAACATCTTGGAATTCCTGTAATAACCTACAATTATTCCTTCATTTTTCCATGCTGCACCACTTTAAGATTTTTGCCAGATCCTGAAAAAACCATAACCTTAAAGGAATCTTGTTCTCCAGGCAAGAGCTCTTTCCACACTGAGCATTCTTTGGGGTTTGGCCGTGGGTTCTGTTACAAAGCAAAGCCTGAGGCTGTTTCTCCTGGTTGTGTGGGTTTTGTTTGCACAATCCAGCTGAGGTGGCAGAGGCTGCAGTCCCTGCTGGTGACAGGAGCTGTTGTTCATTCCCAGGGGTTCAGAGATGCCTGTGAGAAGGGTCTGCTCTCGGGACACCGCATCTCCGGCGTGCGCTTCGTGCTGGAGGACGGCGCCCACCACATGGTGGATTCCAACGAGATCTCCTTCATCAGGGC